TATTGTAACTGCTGTATATTTCTCTTCCAGAGTTTGGCAGATTTAATACACGCACAGACACACAATGAGGGCAAAGGGAGATGGTAATGGCTGGGAGCATGGCTTTTTCTTCTAACCAAGATCTGTTTTTTTCTCCCCACATCCACAGCCTGATCATGCCTACACTCAGACTGAAATTAAAAGTCATAAAGAAATGGAGATGGTTTGGGCTTTGTGAAAATAATCCTCTCTTGTGCGGTGTTATTCCTGTTTATTTAACAGCAAAATGCCGAGGTTTGCTGCGTAAGTGGAAACTCTCTGGCATAATTGTCCCAGAGATACCATTTCAATGGTCTCTGTACTCCCTTCTACATATTATTTGCTTCCAGATTGTTTATTTGAGAGTTACTGAGTGGGATATATTTTTCCCCAGACCTCATCAGTGCTTACAGAGGCAATCCAGGAGTGTTGTGCAGACTGTGATCCTATACAGATTTATCTGGAAGAAAGCCCCATTGAATAAAGCACAGACTCAGCCTGACCAGATCTACTTACTCTAAAATACAATTTGCCGTGCAAAGGCGCTATATGTAAAAAAAGAAAGAGCTCCTTATCCTTTAAGGATCAGGAATGGTTGGAGAACAAAAGATATTTTTACACAGTTTTTAAAACAAGCAACAATCCTACCTTCTTTCTCACCTGTTGGGGCCTACTGTAGATGGAGGCTAATTTACAGGAAATAATTTAGTATAGCTGCTTTTTTTGAGCAGGGAAACTCCAGAAATATTTCTCAAGTAATTTCCACATAGTTGAAAGCCAGGCCTGATCTCCATTGTAATAACACAGTTTAGTTCTTGACCAAATTGGCTCACTTTGGCAAGGACAATACATTTGCATGACCTTCCGTGCAATGTATAAATAATCTTTCGGTGCACCTCCCCTGCCATCTATTCTGTCTCTTCTTGATAGCTGCTGTCTTCCAATTGTATCCTACACTGTACACTAATATACTATAAATATAACAGTTTGGGGCAAGATTCCTCCTCTGGATTCATGATAAAAGTCCATGTATATATTCACATATGAATGAGACGGAGGATGCTCATCAATAACAGGCTCCAAAATTAAATTAATATTTTGCTTAAAGTCTTTAGTCCTCTTATTTCCTGAGAACAACACTAACAACATGGGCGTTTATCCAAAAGCCTAAAAAAATAGAGCTAAATCAATTAGAATATTTGTATAACGGCTTTGGAAACCCCTATCTAACATAAATTGGATATTAATAATATTAATAACTTAATAATTTACATAATTGTTTCAATGATTTACTGTTACTATTATCTCTGTGCCTTTTAATTGAAAAAAAAAACACCCCTACAAACAAAGTAATAATTGTACCACCAGCAGTGTGGTACCTTTTGATTTTCAATTACAGAGGTCTCGTCTCCTCTCTATTTTGCTTTTTTAATATAGATAGTCCTCGACTTACAACAGTTCATTTAGTGACTGCTCAAAGTTACAATGGCATTATAAAAAAGGGACTGTGACCCTTTTTCACAGTTACAACCTTTACAGCATCCCCATAATCACGTGATCAAAATTCAGATGCTTGGCTACTGATTCATACTTATGACCATTGCTGTGTCCCAAGGTCATGTGATCCCCTTTTGCGACCTTCTGACAAACAAAGTCAATGGGGAAGCCAGATTCACTTAACAACCTTATTACTAACTTAGCAGCTGCAGTGATTCACTTAACAACTGTGGCAAGAAATGTTGTAAAATGGGGCAAAACTCAGCAAATTCTCTCTTAACAGTATAAATTTTGGGCTCAACTGTGGTCATAAGTCGAGGATAAAGCTTGCTTATGCATAATTTTAGGACTTCAGATGCCTTACTATTTTATTTGGTAAGATAATTTGGGTTTTCCCTCTGGTTAAAATGGAGTAACATTGAAGTGGTTAATAATATACTCAAGTTCAAAAGGATAATAATATATGCTATTACAGTGTATAAATATATATGAAGCAAACAGTGAGAAAATAGGAGGGATTGGAAAGTTGGGAGGGGGGAAATCTGGAAAAAGCCAATGATAAACCACTTCCAAATTGCTGCCAAGAAAATCACATGGATGCGTACATGAAGTTTCCCAGAGGTAAACTCAATTAGAAAAAGAATGTTATTTTTTGAAGGTAGGAAGAGAATTCCAGAATGGAAGGCTTGAATGAGAAAAAAATAAATATTCTCCCTCTCATACTTGAAATGTAGTTGTTAGTAGAAAAAGGGGAAGAGCTTATGAGACCTCTGGAAGATAAACTCACCCTTACATGGAATTGCATGCTAGCTAGGCAGCTCCAATTGTCATGACAGAGTCATTATCTTGGGATGTCATCTAGATTGGTGTGGCCTGTGGATTCCTGACAAAGAGGGCAATTTAGCTCCACCATCATTGTATTGGATCCCTCCACCATCATTGTATTGGATTCATTAACTAGATCCCAAACTGGTTAGTGAAAGCTTCCAGGAAAGTGATAGGAGGTGGATGTGGATGGCGATCACTGCGTTCTTTGGTATGGAGGTTATGCTACCTACTTTGAAAGAGAAAGTGGTATGTCCTCTCCTCTAGAAGCCATCACTTGACCTAATTATTCTGATCAACTGTTGCCCTGTAGTTTTAGGGAAGGTTATTGAGAAAGTGGCAGGACTGCAACTGCAGAATATTCTTGATGAAGTTATGATTTGCTACCTGGGTTCAAGCCTTGATAACTCTAGTTGATGACTATGGAGTCCTTGGCATTAACTTGTATAAGCAAGATATTTGGGTGGCTTGCAAGATTTGAAGGTGATGGACAATGCACTGCAGTCCATTGGAGGGAGAAACAAGACTTTAATTTATCCCTAGCAAAACAGAGAGGCTATGGAAGCCTCCTGATTTTGGAAGTAATCCATACTTAACTTTTGAAAGGGTTCTGCTTCCCTGCATAGAACACTAGTGTCATCCTCCTCCTTACACGTACAGTCTGAGTGTCATTCATAGCCTTGTCACCTCATGTATGGACTGCTGCAATTTGTTCTATGTGGGACTGTCCTTGAAGATCAACAAGAAGCTTCAGCTGGTCTGGAATACAGCAGCCCCAGTACAAATTGCCAATTAGCTTCCAGGGGCTTAGGATCAGGGTATTTGCAAGATTGGCTATTCTATGTCGAAATCTACCCACCTAGTAAGCTCCAGGATAAAGGGCAGTGGTGGGATTCAGCCAGTTCACACCACTTCAGCAGCTAATTTTTTGTTGCCAAGGCCCAGAATGGACTTCCGGAAGTGGCATCCACACAGAGAACCAGTTGTTCACATATTTGAATCTCACCACTGATAAAGGGCCTTATTCCAGCTTGCCATGCTGAAGGAATGTCAACATCAGGGATCCCAGGATGACCCTTCTTGATGATTTTGACACTTGTCTCTAGAGCAGCGTATCTCCAGAGATAAGGATGGCCTCATCTCTGTTACTGTTCTGAAGGGCAGTGAAAACATGGCTTTTAAGGAGGAGTTATTGAGAAGGATGAAATATCGATTTTTTCTAAAGAAGTGATGACATGGGGCCGAATGATTGAGATTGTTATTTTTTTTGCTAGCTTATTGGTGTATTCTATACTTGTATCCTTAATTGAGCCATAATTACTTAAATTTGGTAAGCAACTCAATGTCAAAACATTGGATAGTATAGAACTTTGTGTAAATAAGCAATTAATGAACAAATAATACTCTTTGTTTAAACCAAAATCTATCTTTTTGTCCAACAAAGAGCTTTTGGGGTTTAAAAGTGTTTGACTTATTCATTATTTTTGGGTCTTTATATCCAGCTTTGTGTCTACTTTATTAATAGTTTCTTGACTAATGTGAAAATGTTAAACTTCTCACTGGCATGAAAAGTTATTTTTAATGGAGATTAGCCTCTGGCTTAAATTTCTCTGCTTTTCATATTTGTTGTTGTGGGAAAGATGAAGTCACAGTTTGTTCTCTGATTTGACTAACCTGGCATCGACTCATGTCAGAATGCAGAGAAAGAACAGATCAGCTTAGATATTTTGCCCCTTGAAGTGAAATACAAGTTATGGGTTCCCTTCGCTCCATTCCTAAAGCAAAAGACTTGGAGCTGGGACACCAAAAGCCAGTTGGTGTGAATTTCAGCCTTGGAGATGGGATCTCCTCTACTTGATTTGAGGACAGCAAAGCTATTCCACTCTAAGAAGGTGATATGGCATACATAAGAGTTATAAGTCTTTCATATAATATTGCTCTGTTAAGCCACTTTGGTGGCATTCACACAACTTAGATACTGAATTTACCTATTCTGGGCAGTTGCACCAGATATTAAACCATAAACAGTTGAATTAATCATCATTTCAAACTAACAAATAACCAAGGTTAAAATTAACCAGGTTTAATGTGTTATACAAATGTAATTCTTTATCTCATTAATTCCTTAGCCCAGGGGTCTCAACTTTAAGACTTGTGGACTTCAACTCCCAGAATTCTTCAACTCCCAGAAGTCCACAAGTCTTAAAGTCGCCAAGGTTGAGGACCTTTGCCTTAGCCTATTCAGTGTGTTACACAAACATAGAAAATATAGAGTTTCCATTCTCAACTATCACTGGGAGCAGTGTAAACTAGATTGATATAATTTGAGTAGAATATAGACATATATAGAAAATAAGGAGCTAAATCAGAGTTTCCCAAAATCATGCTAAAGTAGAACACATTAGCCTGTAATCAACAGGGGCTCAAGAACTGTACAGAGTGTATGCTAGGGGTCTTCAAACTTGGCCCTTTTATGACTTGTGGACTTCAACTCCCAGAATTCCTCAGCCAGGCACGTTGGCTGAGGAATTCTGGGAGTTGAAGTTCACAAGTCACAAAAGAGCCAAGTTTGAAGACACCTGGTGTATGCTACAATCTCACTATCAAGTAACATTCTTTTCTTTGGAGCTTTACACATTTTCCCCAAACTAGGAACTTACCATAGCCCAGGACTGGCATGGCCTGCTGCAGACAAGAGGGGGCCTCTTCAGTCTTCATCCTCCAGGCCTGGCAGCAGACGATGGGCCTGTCAAAGAGAAGCTACTCATCAAAATAGGAGCGATAAGGAGAGACAGAATAGCTTATGCCGTACTCAGATAGGAGAAAGAGGGGAAAGTGTTTATTTTCCATAAATATATCTTCGACCTGCCAGCTAGGAAACTCCAAATGGGGTAAACAATCTAGTTAGTGAGAGACTGTTTTGGATTTTGGAACTGGACTGTCATCATTTCTTTTCTAGCCTCATAACGTGTCATGTGTCTCTAGCAACTACATCAGGGATAGACAATCTGCAGGCAACATATCATCCTTGACTGCAACAAGCTCAGCTCTTGAAATGCTTGAAAGGTCTATGGCAAATCTGTGGACACTGCAATGCAAGGCTGTCGATGATTTTTAATTTTTTTTTTTGTACCACTGCTCCAGGTAAAGCCTAAATAAGTTTTTCCAACCATAAAAGCATCTTATCAGTGAAACAAATTTCTGAAGAAAGTAGCGTGTTGCTTTTTGCTGGATGATTTCAAGCAGAAGCTGGACAGTTGTCATGCTGAAGTGAGATGGGCAGCAGACAACTCAAATAAATAAATAAAATGTCTGTGTTCAATTTCCTGCATAAAGCTAGAAATTGCACTAACTAATCTTGATTGTCTGTTTCATCTCCATGACTGTATGAGTCTGCTATTTGTAGATGGAGGCTTTGGCATGTTCTTATTCATATTAGAGGAATCACGTTCTATACTTAAAGGCATAGGAGCAAGGCTATACTTTTTCTGATCAGTTGGCAATGCTCTCCCAGTAGTTCTCCAAAGTTATCACTGAACAATGGGGTTATTTTTTTATCATCGTATAATAAAGATAAAGAGAAACTTCATGTATTGTATAAATTGTAAAGTGATCTTGTTTTTTTAGGTTTTCTAAAGTTAGGGTTTTATGTCAATCTAGACAATGATAGTTATGAAACAAATATTAGTCTGTGGTTTAGAGAGATGAGTGAATTCAGTTAATCAGCTCACGGTCAAGGTAAAATCCACATAATTCTTATTTCATAATAATTTAGGGTCCCTCAACTCTATAATAAACAAATATCCTCACTTTTAATAACATGTTTGCAAGAAATAGCATGAAAGATATGTTACGTGGTTACCTGGGAGACCTGAGATCTCATTAGTTTTTTAGAGTCAAATGGGAAATTTCTATCTCTAAAAGTGTGTTTCTAATGTCAAATGAATTCTGATCATGATTATTCAGAAGGCATGCCCTTCTTTGTACTTGTCTGTAATATTTTAGGACTGAGCCTAAGATTAAATCAAAATTACAATCGCTGTAACACAGATTGCAGTTGTCAAGAATTCAGCTGTATTTAGCAAGTTTTTGCCATTGTAGAATTAAGATATTTTTTGTTTCTTTGCAAATGTCAACATCTTTCCTTCACATATTCCTATTTTTCTGCAGTTTCTCCCCCTCAAGAACCATAGTATTACAGTAATAGAAAGTGTAATAACAAATGCAATGTCTACTTTTCTATGAACTCTATATCTCCCCAGATATGTAGTACTACAGTGCCCATCGTCCCTAACCCCAAGACAAGTAATAACCATAGTGTCTAAGAATTGTGCCATGGCTGACAGATCTGGACCGCAACTCTCTGAACCACCCCTAAGTGACCGTGAAAGCTCTACCACTTTGCTGCCATCTAGTGGTTTCCTGGATTCGTGCAGCCCAGATTGTGGCTGTTAACATTGATGGTTGACTTTCATCCCCCTTTTGTACTGTTGTGAAGGAGCTGGTATATATTTACACACACTGCTCTGAGGCTATTGGCTTTTTGTAATGTTTTAGGACAAAAGATTGATACTGATAGTGGGTCTTGATTAGGGCAAGTTCTGGGCATCTTCTTAAAATTTAAATGAACTTTGCAGTTCCAGTCTTTGGCTTGTATAGTAAGATAGTAATAGTAGATAGAATAAAATAATATAGTAATTATTCTTTGTTCCTTGTTTTAAATGTGTCTCTTTGTGGGAAAATGGCAAAACCAGTGGTGTAACTCATGCAAGAATGCTTCCTTTTGTGGAGGTAACCAATTTAGAGGGAATTCTTGAACGTACCAGCATCAGACTCCATTCAGACACACCCTACTACACAAATCAAGCAAAGGAAGGGGGCAGAACCAAATAGTAAATCATTCAGAGACACAGTGAGACAGCCTCTTCTGTGAGGCTTTGAACTCATAGAAGCATTTTTATTATTTGAAGTTATTCCCCTGGGCAATAACTAATCAACATGAAATTGATCTCAAACCTAAACCAAGGACCCAAACCCAATACAACGTTTGAATCTGAAAGTGAAATATTAAATTAAAACACAGTTAACTTATTTGTGACTTAGAGGTACATGAACCCATTTAACATGGCTTATTCAGTAAACATGGTTAAGCCTTAGTATGTTATGGGAACTCGGCTCCAGAATCCTACTGCAGTTCCAATAACCAGGAAAGAAACTGTGCAACTGTATTACGTTAACTACAATCTTATTCCCACTTATTTGAAGAAAAAAAAAGGTCTATTTAACTCAATGAAGTCTACTTCTATGAAATGCATGCTTTTCTGAGAAACTGCATAGGATAATTCCAATGGAATATCCTACTTACATTTTCCTGGGTTTACCTCTGAGAAAACCTGAATAAGTCAGTTACGTTTGCCCAGCCAGACAAAAACAAACGTCTATGGAGATTCTCAGTCATCCAGATCATGGTTGTCCCAAAGGTGTTTTTTCCAAAAGGCAACTGGATTTTCTTTGTTTTTTTCCATGAAGACTTTTGGATGAGAAGCAAAAAGTCATCAAGGGAAAAAAAAAAGAGAGAGAGAGAGAGAGAAATCCAGTTGCTTTTTTAAAAAAGCGTTTTTGGAACTCCCAGCCAGCCAGGCTTTATTAAGGACATCTCAAAAAGTATTTTAAATCGTGGTGATTCAATGAGGGGGTTGAACAATTGATTGGAGAGGCCAAAAGGATATTACATGAATGCTTCGGGGAAGGCCCCAATTGCCTCCTGTGTCCATCTGATGACGAGCCCATTACGCACACGCACCTCTCTACGGTCACTTGTCTCGTTCGCGGTTCTTTTATCAGAGCGATGGTTACAGTGATTTAAAAAATAAATAAACAAGGGAAAAACCAAGACTGGCTGATCACTTCAAACTCCGCCGCAATCGCCAACGTCGTCCAGATTGCTCGGGTCCGGCTATCCGGGGTCGGGCGCGCGGGGGGGGGGGGGGATAAGAACGGTGCGAGAACCAACGTTCCAACGGAAGTTTTCTCTTCAAAGGCGGAGAATTTCACTTGTGCCGCGAGGGTTCGAATGCGCCGAAGCTCGAAACGGACGAAGCTTTTTGGCTGTTGGGAAGGCTCCGCGCTCGGTTGGCAATCAAATCCGTTCCTTTGAGCTTCTTCTGCTTCTTTTTTTAAAAAGATCTTTTCAAAACCTTTGGACTAAATACTTAATTCTCTTCCTAACAATAACAACAACAACAAACTAAACTCTCTAGAATGCCGTGTAAAGAGTTTTCTGATAATAAAAACTTAGCCATATAAGGAATGTTGGTTTTTTCCACCCCCACCCCCCATTCAAGGATAAATTTAAACGAATGGCTAAAGTGAGGCGTTTGCTTTTAAGAAGAAATCCTGTGACATTTTAGCATTATTACAAAATCCGCGGGTAGAGCTAAATTTTGTGTCTTTGCATCTTCCTGTTTCGAACTTTGGAGCCCATTTGCTAAACGCGAATTTGTTTTTGAAGTGGCTATTCCTTGTTCTGACCTGGCTGACTTTTTATAGTAAATTCAAGGATGTTCTTGTCATTAAATATTTATATTTCAAAACTCCCTGGAAGATGCGAAGAAAGAAAGAAAAAAGAAAGAAGGAAGGAAAGAAAGAAAGAAAGAAAGAAAGGAGAAAATTAGGCATTAAATAAAATAATGCCAGCCTGATATGAATGATCCTGTAAATTTTAAACAGTAAATAAATAGATATATGCGAAAGCATTTTAACTCAAGGTAAATAATTGGATTTGTTTATAACCTAAGCTTATTTTCCCCATATGACATGCTTTGTAGGAGAGGCAGAGCAAATGATGCAAAATAAAGAGCTGATGAGATTGTTGGGGGAAATTGGGAAGTCGCGGTTCAAATCCCAACTATTCTTTGATCGTTCAGATAGAGAATGCTCTAACCTGCTTTAGCAAGCTGAGTGGATAAAATAGTTTGAGCTATTTGAAGGAAAACTAGACATAAAATCCAAATAACATTTTAAAATTAATTAGAAGTCATTTATCCAAATGAAAAAATATCCCTAAAAAAGATCAAATAATAAGAGACATGATATAAGCTGCTTTCTTTCCCAGTTCATACTAAATATATATTTTCTGTCCAAGTCCCATTTCCCTTCAGCCTCACTGGCTGATGCTTACATTACCCAAACCTTGTCTGTTTAAATATGGTTTGATGACTAGGCCACAATTGGGTGGGATCATACATGTGGCATCAAGCCCCCCCCAAAACAAACAAAAAACAAAAAACAATGTGCTTTACCAATCACAGTAATTGGGTTTACAATCTAAACCAAAATCCCATTCCATTTTAGCAACATTTATGAAGAATGTTTCTGTCGCTTGCAAGCTTTGATGGGATTGTAAATATATATATATATATTTGATGGGATTGTATATATATATATATATATATATATATATATATATATATATATATATATATATATATATTCACCATATCCATATATATGGAGATATGGATATGGATATGGATATGGATATATATGTATGTATGTATATGTATGTATGTGTATATGTATATGTGTATAAATTAAAATGTGAAAGGAAAACAATTTTTTGGGAAGCATTGGAAGTTTCTGATGCAAACATGAATATAATTCATAATAATTCATTCCTCCTCCTCCTCCTCCTCCTCATCCTCATCAAGTAGCCCCTTGAAATGTTCAAACATGTATAGGAAGATCTGTGCTGTCTCTGAGAAACATTTCCCACAGGTTTTTCACCCCCCCCCCTCTGTTGAGGAAGGGAACATTTTGTGATCTTTGCATATAAGCTGCTCAGGACAAGACCCACTCCCCTCCCCTCCACCCTAATTCACTGGCTATCACATCTGGGTGCATGTTTTTTTTGTTTTGTTTTTTAAAGAAAGGAATAATAATAATAATAATAAACCCCAGCCCAGTCGTTTTGCTCTTATTTCCAGAGAGAATCTTTACTCAATTTGCCAGATTGGTGGTTAGGGTCTAATTAACTTGCCTTGGAAAACTGTGCCCACCCAGTACAGGGGATTTTAAATCCCAGTTAAAAGTGCACAGCGAAGACCAAAGACGGGGTCTGTGCACAGCCTGGTAGGAATAGGGATCTGTTCGGGCCTTAGCCGTCCCTACAAAAGATGTGGGAAAGGAGGCGCAGTAGCGAGGACACGGAAGTTCTTCAGGATTGTAGAAAGTGTTATGACGGTCTTGTCGCAATACGCAACAACAGCACGGCCAGGGAGAAACCCACACGAAACCGACGACCTATGCAAAGTCAAAAAATAGGCACTCTGATTTATAAGTTGAGATCTTATCTAAGCCCTTGAAGGAAACGCCGACCAATTAGTTAAGCGGCCATCAATTATTTCCCATTAAAACTGCTGCCATTTTGCAAATGTGAGCAGCAAGAATAAAGCTCGGGAACTTACTCGAAATTGTTGTGAGGCTAAGTGAGACCACCTAGAATCCACCACCCTCCGTAAAGCAGCGAAATTAAGCACTCCCCGATATAGCGTAGACACGCCTCGATATAGATAGAGATGCATACACTTGTGTGGAAGGCTATAGATCAATCGTCCCACACTTTAGGAAGCATCTTATATACAAATACATATACATATACATATATATACATATATATATATATATATACATATACATATACACACACACCTCGTTGAAAACATCGGCCGCCGTCTGCAAGTTCCGCTTGGAGAAGCGATGGACAAACCATTACCGAAAGGCGACACTGAACTGCAGTCTTTACGGGTTAAGGTGCGTCCCTATCCCCATTTACCCGCGAGCAAGCCCCTTGCACTCAATAGGACTTTCTGCCGAGCAGACTCCTATTGAGTTGCACGATTCCTTCTCAACTTGTGCCCGGGAATAACGGGTTCGTTCCAGATGCTTTTGGCCGTATCAAACAACACTCGGTTATCCACAAAGAGAAAAATGATACTACCAGTTTGATAAAGTTCCTTTGAGTGTTTCATTTTTTGCCCCCCCCCCCGAATTAGAAAGAAGGAATTTGAAGGGAAAGAAAAGAGCCTTTCTCTCTTCTGACTCAAACGGGGTTAGACTTTCCTGCTTTCCCTTCATTAACAACCAACCTTCCCAATCCACTACTCCCCCCCACACTTAGGGTTAAAAGTCCCTATACATTTTTCCTTTCGGTTGTCTTCCGCCCCCTTCGCTCCACCTTTTCCCTAAGTCCACCTTGCACAACTGGAAGGCTTTCTAGGTCTCTTTTAAGTTCAGCAGAGGGGGTTGTTGTTGAAATTGTTCCAGGGCTCGGAGGGGCTTTTGGAAGTACTCAGCTCCAGCCCAGGTCCCTGGAAACGCACATTGCTTGCGCTCATGTACTTAACTAAAGTAATTTCCATTCCACCCTCTCCTTCGCTCAAAAGAAAAAAGAACTGGGAGCATTTAAAGGTGCGCAGATTTTAAACAAATGATTTGCAGAAATAGACTCGTCCGGCGATGGGCGTGGGGGGCCGTGGGGTGTGTGTGTGCGAGAGAAGACGACAAAACCCTAAGACCGACCAATAGCCGTGTTCTAACACGGGTGGGCAACTTGGCTTACAGCGTTTTAAATATGTGCGTGATTTATTTGGGAGCGATCCTCTCCCTAAGCAGTGCGGCTTATTCCGAGGAAGCCTGGAATTTACCATAGACTGTGTGCCCGCGGCGCGTGTTAAAGAGCACACGGCTAGAGAGCACAAGATCCCTGTGGATCCATCCCAAAGGCTTTATTAATATACGGTCCTGTTCTCCACAGGGGTCGAACGACCCCCTCTTTCTGGAATGACGCCCCTTCTCTTATTCCCCAGCAGTTAGGGTTGCTCCCTTTGCAACGGGGCGTTCCGCGGAGAGCCCGAAAGCATTAAGGGCTGTTGGTCCCTTGAACTGTTTGCGATCGCCCCCCCCCCCACGATCCCTTTTAACAGCCGCTCAAGTTAGTGACCAGCCGGTCTCTGCCTGGTGAAAATGAATTCCGCGATTTATTCTGCACACCCTCTCCAGTTTACCCTCCGGCTGGCTAGTGCCTTTGGGGGACCCCGAGAGGACACGCGCAATTTCTCCATCCAGTTTACTCACAGGGCGCCCGCTGTAGTTCTCTCCCCGGGCAGGTAAAAATCCACCGACACTCTCTCTCTCTCTCTCTCTCTCTCTCTCTCTCTCTCTCTCTCTCTCCCTCCCTCTCTCCTCCGCCCACACCCCTTATAATTAAGCAAACTTTCTAACGGTAATTAACTCCCTCGGGGGAGGGAATCTCTCGAGCCCATAAGTCATTTCTACGTGTGTGTGTGTGTGTGTGTGTGCGCGCGCGCGAGAAGGTTAGTCGCATCCGATTGTACCATACAAACTAGGTTGGTTATCCCCGCTCTCGCTCCCCCACCGACCCCCCCCCTCCCCACACACACCCCAGCCATCCTTCCAGTAGTTCGAAACCCGGGGAAGAGAGAAGGGAGTTTTCGGAACAAGCGCTCGCCCCTCGCTCAGCCCGCCAATCTTCCCCGCTTGCGGGGTTCTTAGTCCCAGCCTTGAACTAACCGCCAAGGTGGAAGCGGGTGGAGAAACGGAGAGGAGAAAACTGGAGGGACTCCTTCCCCCCCCCCAACCTCCCCTTCGCCTCGCCAGTCCATCATTCCGCCTTCCGAGGCTGCCCGCTGGGAGCCTCTCTAGACCCCTCTTCCCACCCGGCCGTCCGACTCGCAACCTACCGAGCTCTGGCGCTGTTTTTCCCTCAGCCTTCAGCTTCTGCCTTCAGCGGCGGTGGAGAAATGGGGAGAGGAGGAGGCGAAGGAGGAGGAGGAGGCGGGGGAGGCGGGGGAGGGGGAAGATGAAGGGGTGGGGGCTTCCCCCCACTATTGTCTAAAGCTTGCATGGGGGGGTGTGTGTGTGTGAATTCAACGTCAATTCTCCAGACATAACAAGTGGTGCGCCAGCAGGGATGTCTAGGAGCCCCTGAAGGCGCTGATACCCCCCCCCCCATCCCATCCCACCCCATCCCATCCCAACCCGTAACGCTACCTGTCATTCTGGAAGAAGGCAGGCAGCGCTGGCCGCGTTGGGTTGCAGAGCCCTGTCTGTGCCACCTCAACGGGACGAGAATCGGAGTAATCAGGTGTTGGAGGACCCAGGCTTGCCAGGGTCTTGGGAATAAATTGACTCGCACACCACGTTTAGAGTTCAGAGTTCCTCAAGTGGAATTCCACCCAGAAAGCAAACTCATGGAAGTGTAGCATTAGAAGCTATGATGGGGGTGGGGAGTTTTTCCCCAGTTACTATTGCAACAATTTGTTTACATAAACAACAACAAGCCCAAACATCTGATAAGAGAGAGGGAGAGGGGGGGGGGGAGAGAGAGAGAAAAGAAGGAGGAGGAGGAGGAGAAGGAGAAGAACGGAGGAAGAAGAAGGGAGAGAAAGGAGAGAGCAATAATTTCTTATAAATAGTTCAAGGGACTCTTGAGCTTTTCAGGAAAGCAATCTAGAGTCTGATCCGATGTTCCAGAATAGACTGTGGAACGTGGACTCCTGCCTGGAGTAAGTTTTCACACACTACATAAGTTAGGACCATAGCCTTGAGAACAATTAACCCGGAGAGGCAACATGAGGAATTGGACTGTGTTCTACATTTACGAGAATATCAGAAAAGGATAGGGCAGCCTTTGGCCACTGAGGATCTACTTCTGTGTCCTTCACCACCACCACCACCACCACCACCACCACCACCACCACCAAACATCAAATTCAGTTCCCTTTCAACATCGTGGTTTTGAAATACTGACAGTATGGTGGAAAAGCAGCTTCATGTCATAAAGAGAAGAACCTTTTACCGTCAACTGCCTAATTTGTGCAATTCACGGGAATAACATGATATTAGTTATCTGGGCTTCTCACAAAACAGGGACTGCTCTGACATATTGTTCCAAAGGTATCACAGCACTTCTGTATAAAGAGTAGAGCAGTGGTTCTCAACCTTTTTAATGCCGCAACCCCCAACCGTCGTAAGTCGAGGACTACTCAACCGGTCGTAAGTCGAGGACTACTCAACTGGTGCAGCACCGTTTGCAGAATGGGATTTTTGGTGGGCTCAGCAGGGCAGAGACAGCCTGGACAATTCCTATTGGCTTTTGAAAGCCAATAGAATTAGACTCTATTCAAGGGAGTCTATTCTATTGGCTTTCAAAAGCCAATAGAATAAAAGGGAGTAGCACAGCTAAGGAAAAGGGGGAAAAAATGGCGGACTGTGTTGTTTGGCGACCCCCGTGAAATGGTCGTTCGACCCCAAATGGGGTCCCGACCCACAGGTTGAGAACCACTGGAGTAGAGGAAGGCCACCACCTCATAATCCTGGGGAATGAAATCAGGTGGGCCAGAGATATTTTTAAACATACCGTTTTGCTTGATATTGTTCAGCCCACAAATTCTTGCAAGTCTACAATAAATCATCCACAGAGCTAACCACTGATGTTAATATCCTTCTAAACCAAAACACAGCCTCCTCCTGAGATGATTTGGCTAGCCTCCTGAAAAGCTGTGAAGGCTCTTCCTCCAGGCACTGGGGCCAGGATGTTAATATTAGTCTGCTTGTTAGTTTGTTAATGCGGGTGTGTTTGTTATGCTCTAATTAAGATATTTTAGGGACTGCAGCCTGTATTTTTGTTTTTAATGAGTGGTGAAATTGGTTTTGTTTTTATCTTGTTCATAGCCAAGAGTGCCTTTGATTGATGGGCATCCATATAAATATGCTAAATAAATAAAATAAATAAATTTTGTCCAGATTCCTCCCAAACATCCTATTTCTGCTTCCTCAGGATCTCAACCATGTCTGCTTTCTCAGGATTTCATCACTGTTATGGTTTAATTAGTTTGTCTTAACTGATTCTGAGTGGGCATTCTTACTTGGATCATATTTTTCAAAAATTCCATATGGGACCAAGTGGTTCAGAAATTTGCTGTGGACCCACTGATGGGCTAATCTTCTCTTCTAGATTTCTAAAAATATAGCCTCTCTCGTGATACCTCAGTGTTCAAGTAGGTGCTAAGCATACTGCATATACATACATATGGACACACACAAGTGGCAACCACAGTTTGTTTACACAGCAGTCTTGCAGTCCTTCAGTTCTATTAACCCCCTTTTAATGATCCTGTATTCCCTTAATTATTCAGGATAGAATAGAATAGAATATCTTTATTGTCATTGTGTAACTCACAATGAAATTAAGTGCTGTCCACAGTGCGCACTACACACAAGTAAAAACCACAAATAAGAACATACATTATATACACACATCCTTCACATTCTATTCATCATTGCGTTGCTTCTAATAGATTTGGGTGGGCGGATGGAGCTGAGCGTTTACTGGCCAGATGCCCTTCCTGATGCCACATGGAGTTCATAGCAGTATTTTTTTCTTTGCACCCTAGGAGAGAAATATCTGCCAGTAACCACCAGTAGGACTGAACTCTCAACCTTCCAAGTGCAAGTGTCTTTACCACTCTGCCACCATGCTGCCTTCTTCAGTTCTATTAACTGATTCAGTAGAAACCTTTCTGATTGGGCCAGTGAAATTCTTCCTGGATGTGATACTTCATATCTCAGCTAGACAGATGAGTCTCTTTTACAACTCTGTTCAATAGGCTTTACTGGCTTAAATATGTGTCTATGTGGAGGGACAGATGTCCATACAAACATTTCCATCTACTTCATGGAGCTGGCAGGGAAGATCCTGTTTATGACAGAAGGATTCTCCATTTTGTATTTGCTGGTTGTTTATCAAACCTATTTTGCCCATCCCTGAACAAGGCATATTTGTTGCGAGAGGCTGATGTGTAAAAAGAAGAGGTCTCTTCTGATTCTTTCCTGAAGGGGCTCCCATTTCCTGAATTTTGAAATTCCCAACCTCCTAACCAGATGCCCTAACTGAAAACAAACTCAGGCTGAGATTGGAAAAAGGGGAGCAGCTGGAGGATGTTTATAGAAGAGCAGCAGTGGGTGCCAGCCCTTTTGCACTCCCTCCCCAATTCTCTCCTTCAAATGCCTGCTCTGCATCTCTGTTTATATTCCGAGAGAGTATAGTTTTGCAGGCACATCTTTAGTGAGATGTTGTTCCTAAACAAGAAGTGCACCTGTGTGCCCACACGCACATTAGACAGGGATAAACTTCACAATTGTGATATCCACAGAATTTTTATTACCAAAATCCCAAGGTCCTCCTGCCATAAGCAAATACGGCACGTAACCATGGCTTCGACATGATACCAGTTCCTCGTTTCATGTCACGGGGTGTGCACTGGGACCAGTTACTGTATGTATAGAAGTAGAACAGTGGACTGGAATTCCCTGTAATGACCAAGGAATTATTATTCATTGGGGATAATCTTTGGTGAGGTGAATATTTTTTGTTCTCTTATTACTACCACCACCCCAGCCCTTCAGTACTGGAATGACTGTGGATCAGAATTCCAGGGGTGATAAGTGCCAATACATCTGGAGGGCATAAGGTTGGGGATGACCATGTTGAAAAAGTACAAGTCTCACATTCTTACTAGTCCACTGCAAAACACTGCAGGGAACCCTGAGAGTTGTAATCCTAAAACATCTGGCTCTGACAAGTGCTGGGACAACATCTCCATTGCCTTATCTCCTGGAGTTTTTCTGGGCCAGGGTGGCCCATATAATCCACTTTCACAGATGGTCTTCATGATGCTTTTGCCAGCTTGTGAGAATGCCAAAATGTGTGTGCGTGTGTCTAAGTTTTTTTCTTTGCTGTGAAAAATCTGGCATTTTTGGCATCTGATATATTATACTATCAGATGCCATATCGGGACTTTGGAAGGTAGCTCTTTCGTAGTCCCAATACATAAGGCAATCTTCCCTTGCTATTATTTAAGAATAGATATAATTGCCATTCCTATTCTTTTTTGGTTTATTCACATTTGTTTACATGTTGCACAAAAGTGTGCTGCATTTCTAGAATTTAGGCCTACTCCAATCTGACATTCACAATGTAGCTGCAGCCTCTCTGAGGCTCACATTTCATGTCTTCTTCTGCTTTAATGGCCACCATTGAAATGTAAGATGAAAAAAAGGTTCATTGAACTATTGTAAACCTCTTAGAAAACTTGACCGATCAATTTCACTTAAAAATAGAACTGTTCTCTAGTTCAATAACTCTTAGTCTATAATTCATATTTTCCACTGAATTCAGTGGAACTTCCCGCTAAGAAAAAGACTGCATTGCTGTTGATTCAAATCAGTTAAATGCTAATTTTATTCTGAAATAAAAAATGATGCTTAGATATGCCAATGTAAGGTAAAAATTTCCTTGACTCCTGGTGGCTTTATGCACACTTCCATGTAGTGGGTAATAATACAGAAATGGTTGGCCATTTGGGTCTATCACAGGATACACAATCTCAGGAGCACCAGGGAATGACTTCTAAGTATTTATCGGGACTATAAGGGTTAATTAATTTAATCCATGTATCATTGCTCGAACAATCTCATTCATCAATTGATTAACATCACATCAGCATCTTATAAAATTCCAAAGTCTGTGTGCATAACCTCACACTGAGCTTTTTTTACAGATCATCTAGAAAGGTAGATAGAGAATCGATCCCAAAATGACTATGACTCTCACAGTTCCAACTCACTGTAATTTAGCATGTACATCACTTATGATACGTATATTAGAACAGGATAGTACCATTATAAGTTCTTAGATTTTTGTTTGCTTCCCAGCGTCTTT